GGGGGGGGGGGGCTGGGGGGTTAATATTGATCTGATCGCACGGATTATAGTTATCAGTACTTTAGTAAGAGCAGTATCTGCAGTTTCAATAGTAGTGTTGTTGGTTACGCCGACAAAATGCCTTTTTTCTCTTAACTATTGTGCATTTTAAAAAACGGTATTTTGTCAGGCGACGGGAGCAGTTATAGATTAGTAGTAGAGTAGTAGTAGCAGCGGCTGCCCGTAGCAGTAGTAGTAGTAGTAGTAGTAGTAGTAGTAGTAGTAGTAGTAGTAGTAGTAGTAGTAGTAGTAGGAGGAGGAGGAGGAGGAAGAGGCGGAGGGAGAGTTGTTTTTTATTGTTGATGTTATTGTTGCTGTTGCTGTTGTGCTTCTCCTCTTTTAAAATCAAAATGGTGTTGTCAGTGTCTACACCTTTTTTATTTGAAGGTTTGACGGCGGATCTTTTTTTTTTGGGGGGGGGGAGAGGAAGAAAGGAACGCGGAGAAAATCAAAGCCTGTAAATCGATTTCACTTGAACCTTTATAGTCATCTTGACCTTTTACTTTCTCCTGATAAAAAGATTATTATTAAGGGTTCCTTAAATCGTAATAAGGTAATAAGGCCCAAAATGTATTTACAGTATCGAGATGTAATTTTAGCGCGGTGCAGGGGGGGGGGGTGTCCTTTTGTGGAAGTGGTTTTGGATAATTCTTTTCATTGGGGGACGTTTTAATCAGTCTGCACTGAATATCCGGTAAGCTCCCCGACAGGCGTTTAAATTAAATAACGCTGAGGAACAAGAGACGGGATTAGCCCCCTGGAGGATCGTATCTTTATATTGAACCGTCTGGATTGCCTCTCCGTTTATCTGTTCTTTTCTGAATTTACGAATTCCTTTCTTAATTTTTCAAGTGATGTAATCCGATCAGCAAGACCCAAAAAAGTATTGCTCTTAATGCTAAATTGATGAACCTTCCCATTCAGAAGTACTCCCCATCGAGGGGGAGAGTGGTTTTTTAAAATCAAACTGAATCAAATACAATGATAAAAAGAAGCTGTTGCTTTAAGTGCATCGAATGGGGTTTGATTTTCTCTAAGCACTCCCCTCAGCTGACTATAGGCCCCACTTCATGAACAAAAGCTGTTGCTTTGAGTGCGTTGAATGGGGTTTGATTATTTTTTTCAAGGACATCTGTCTTTTTATTAAACAAAATAGTGGAGTATCTACTCTCCATAAGTGTTCGTGACGAAATGTGGCGTTCTAAATGGCATAAGGACACAGTAAGGGAGCGTGTTCATTAAAAAAAAAGAAATGAGTATTACAGTATTATATTTCTATTGGAAGATTGTATACACTTGCAGAAACCACTCATCCTTCATGATCGAAGCTCATAAATATAGCGGTCACCACTGGCGCTGCTGGGGACGTTGGTTATTGTGTCTCGTATAGATAAGTAATCCACCCAATAGTGTGTTGTACAATCTTTTGGCAATGTTTGTTTGTTTGTTTGCTTGTTTGTGTTTTTGTTTGTTTGTTCGTTTTGTTTTCTATCTTCTTTTTTTGGGAGGGGGTGGGGAGGTAT